GACCCCGTCCAGATACCGTCCCCCTCCTTAGCAGTCTTCTTAATGCCAGCCGAACTCGGTTTATGAAACTAATACCACTGCGTTGAGGAAATGCAAGATGCAAAGATGATGATTATCACCTCATAGGCTCGCTCACACTCTCCCACAGCAAACTCGACCAACGAGGCCAGACGCATGACAGTCGAAGAGAATACCAAAACACGATACATTCCTGACACCATCTTTCCGCCACTTCTCGATTTAAACACGGCGTCTTCGGACGAACTAGCTTGATGCAGGATCCGTGACCAGTCCTGATTGATGCAAATCTTGCTCATCTTGCTCTCTCTTACATTTCCTCAACGCCGCTTACATTGCGAGTTTGATACTCATCTAATTGCAAAGACCGCACCTCCTTAATGGCGTAGCCGCCGTAAACTCTAAACGACTGTTTACAGTTGTGCATGTACTGTAGGAGGAGGTCACTCTGAGAAATGAAAGAAATGTGGTATCAATTGGTCATAGACGTTGACGATGGCAGAGATATTGATCTCAAACCTGGAGCGCGAAAGGCAAGGTCTGAGTTTCGCGAGAGGATGAGTTAGCGAAACGAAGCTACCCGAGAATTAGTCACGACAGAGTCTAATGCCTCGTTTCACAGTATCAAGGGTAACAAGAGGATACGAAAAATTATTATTCTGCTGTGGATCTCGGCAGTACAATTAAAAACACGTTTCTAGCAGTTCGTCATCTAGGAGGCTCAAGTAGCATTTGGGGGGGGGAGTGCTACCCGTCTGCGACAAACGACTGAATCGATCGCATATGGGACATCTACATGGCCCCAACCGCCGCGCGAGCATGCTAAGCACGCAAGGACGCTGTTGCGCGTCAGCGAACCCGAACTGATACTTGTCCTAGGGTGAGATATATCGTGTGACAAACTGGGGTTCTCACTGGCGCTAGGTTTCGACAAATCATTATTTTGAGTATATTCCAAATTGGTTTGGAGCAATGAACATATGTAATGCCCATATATACATGATACTTCCCCGAACTAGGGGAGTTATCACACATCCGAGGAGCTGTCCTTGCTAGGCGGATGCCACCCCCGTAGAGGGGTCTATGTATACGTGTATATCTATGGAGACCTAGCCATTTACAATATAATTAAGAGTAACGTAATATTGTATATAATATATAAATAACTCTTCTTAAGCGGCACCCTTCAACCAGGCGTAGTTGCCAGTATTAGGGTATCGCCGCGGGTTAGAACCCTGGGGATTCACCAGTCGTGAATGACCCTATCTATTGCGATTTGCCGCGATTCTTGCGCGGTGAGGAAGTAGGCCCTCCCTTCATATAAAAAAATAATTAGTAAATGGCTATATATAAATCTATCTTGTATGTGTAGTTAATATTGGTATACCTTTTTATATTAATATACTGTTACGTCTTTGCTGGGATGCTCCACATCCCTACAGCAGTCCTTGGAGTCTACAGTTCTATCATTGCAGCACTGCTATCTACCGCTAGCCTCAAGGGTCTTCTCACTAGGGACCATGGTACAATCCCCAGCTGGGGCATTTCTCCGCCAAAAAACGTGCCGTGTTTCCCTCTCTCAGGTTTGGAGAGCACATAGGCGGTCTTTGGAATATATATTCGCTTTCCTCAGCAGAGTTCAGGAGTTTCCTCACTTACTATACAAGCAAACATACAAATTCCGGGTAGAAGTGTACAGAAACCAATGAGATTTTCCCAAAGATTTCGTCAAAATATTAATATTGTCACCAACACATGTAAGGATCGTGCAACCTTTCCTCAAACAAATCACAAAATTTTCGATTTTTTTTCTACGAGGGCAGTTACTTATCCTGCACACTCCCCTGTTGGCTGTGTACATATCCCCCCTCATGGAAATCCGAGAAGTATCACGGAATCTATGTCACGACGATGATGTTACTCCCAATATATATGCGTATCGCTTCGGTGATGTGGAAGAAGTGTGGTAAGCTGCCGATCCATTGGCCATACCGCAGCGATTGATCCGTAGTTTAGGTGTAATTCCCGGCGATCACGGGAATCCGAATAGGTAACGCCAGCGTGATAAAATTTGCACATGGTCAACCACATGTGTTGGTGACAATATCGAAACTTAGTTTCTGTGCAGTTTTCGCATAGGTATTCTCCCAATAGGCATACAGTATAAACTCCCGTGATTGGTGATGAAACTGATGAAGCGAGCATATTTTACAAAACTGGGTAACGGTTTCACAGACGATATGTTGGCCATGGTCATGTTACTCACAAAGTAGATAGACTGTATTATAACAATACAGGACGAGGCAATTCGAGATTATGCAAATGCGAAGAATTTGCGTTTACTATTTCGGAATTATTGATAGTGAACAACTTGTCGCTATCATAGTCTCGAAATGTTACTTTTATCACATCA